GCTGGGAACATGGCATATATAAAATTTTGGCAATTTTGCATAAAACCAAATTACATTTTTTAACAGGTTTGTCAATTTATTATCGTAATCATTACACCACGTCGCCTTATTATTGTTCTGTCAAGTGAAACCTAGCAATTAGTAGTGAAGTTTATCATGCGTATGAGTATATGGATGCAGGGTGTATACACGATCTGATGGTACTCGTAGGTACTTATATGCAATGCCGAGTTGGAACCCTGCCTGCTGTTTTTTTTGGTGCGTTTTCATTTGCGTGAATTGCCGTTTCAGAAATTGCCATCATTAGTGCACAAGTTGGGTGAGTCTCTGTCATGTTTTCAATGTTTTTTGATTTGCCTACATACAACGCAAAGCCGAGTGTAATGGATTGTAATAATGGATTCAAAAGGATTATGGTATGCAGTACCGCAAACGGCATGCAGCAATAATGGACTGGATTTGCTAATGTTAAAATAAAGGAAATTATGCTGATTGTTTTGCTCATAAATGGAGCGGGGTGGGATGCTTTAAGTTCTTATCTCACGATGAGGATGATGTGTGTGGAGAAGGAAGATCAACTCCAGTCAGTTCGCTGCTATGATGGATTGATGGATTGATTAATGTCAGAGTTTTGTATTTACTTGATCAAATTCTTGTCTTTTCAATCTCCTCATTTTCTTGTGTTTTTATCTTCGCCTGGTGTGCAACTAACATAATTAACTAACATGCAGCACTTAACATTCACGACGACGGTGATCGAAAAATTTTAAAAAAACTATGCATTTTTTTCAAAATTCAGACAATGATACAAATTGATGCTAAAAATTACGAGTTTTTTGCCACCTTCTTGGCAACTATCTCGTTCATATTTAAATACAGATTCCTTTGTCGACTCAGACTCAGCATACATAATTACGGCGACTGACTTGGGATTGATTTTGATGATGTTAAACATCAAAATAAGTATAACAAACTTAATAAATGGCGATCAGGTAGTAAAAGATGCAACGCATACATATCAAACCCATGAAAGGTTAGTACGGACCAATCAGAACGTACTTATTTATTCATTTCTTTGCACACGTACATAGTTTTCTTTAAATGATCATCTTTACATATGTATCTCTATAAACCGTACATGAATTTCTGGATTTTTATGTAGAATTGTCTAATGATCCGCCCGTGTCCCAAGTTTTCATTTAAATCAGTGCAATGTACCTGAAAATACTGATGATGCAATAATAATGATCACCAAAAGAGATATTTATTCCAGTCCACTTTACTTTACTCAACTGATGCACTTATGAATACCTCAGACTATGCAATTTGAATTATTCACAAAACTGGTCCGTGCCGAGTGGAGTACATTTAGAACGGGTGCAAAAACTAGTCAACAAAGCAAACTTCGAACCAACCTTCAACCTGTGAAAGTAATAATCAGTTTCATAATAATATTTTAGATCACCTAAATTAACCCAGGCAAAAGATGGTTTCAATAACTTTGACGCTATGAAATATCGTCGCCATGTTGCACGTGTCGTTTTTCATTTACACGATCAAAGTAAAGTTTAGTGCATAAATGTTATCAATACATTTACCCCAATTTCGATGCACTACTTCCTTTGCCATGTCAGAAAAAAAATTATCGTCCCGAAATGTCAGTTGGTATTTATTTCCCAAAATAAATATCAATACTTATCAACTCAAAAGTGAGACCTTATCTCGAAGGCATGTTCACCAAGTTATCGAATCGAATAACGACACTCGTCGCTTATCGATCACCACGAAAATATGCATATTACTGATATTAATTGTTATCAGGCGTTCGTGTGCCAGTGTCCATTACTGTATTGACAGTTGCTTACGGCACTTACATAACAGAGCGAGAAACCCCAAAAGATCGGAATTCGATGGTCATTGCCATGCGTCCCTCTCTCTCTCTTTCTGCTACACATTTTACATTTTTTAAGCCTGCCCAACCACGTCTGACCGACGTATGTATTGCATTGATTAAACGAATATGGATGAGTATAAGTAATCTAAGCCAGAAATTCGTTAGTTTGCTCGTGATGGATATTAATTGTTTCCACAAGCCCGTCCTGTCCGAAATTTATTATTTGCTTTGGCCAAACTTTCTACGTGGTTTGGTTTCTGGTGGATGCACAAGCATGGCGTATTGCATAACAACTGGAGAAGGAACCGGACTTGGCAGAGTGCAAAGTGTTCCTTCCTTTGTTTACGATGTGTACTATCACATTTTGAATGTTTGCAGTGGGTTATAAAGTATTGACTTATTTAAATTTTAATGACTTTATTTCCTTCTTTTCCAACCGTGTGAACCCGATCAGCATAGATGGACAAAGGGCACGACCACAACGCGATAATTGATCGCCTTCTTGCTAAACCAACAACTCTGCCCGAGTAGAAAAGAGTTGGTTTAGTTTTAAGCTTTACTCATGTGTTAAGCAGTTAGTTACCTTTTTAAATTAGTTGGTTAATAAAGAGCTTCCTTGTTTGCTCAACTGCTAAAAGTTAGTTGTTGGGGACACGCACGCATCATTCATCTCCTCTCCTGAGTCATCCTTCCCAAATAGGAACACTTACTTCTCCGTATATTTAGACGGATATGGAGCAAGTGCTATTACGGCATGTCATTCTTCCTCACCTGCGTAACCCAGACCTGCAAAAACAATGGCAATCCGATGCAGTAATTTTTCTTTTAATTGGTATCAGCGACTCATTAAACATTTTTTAATATTTATTGAAGATTGGGCACATACGTAGTTTTCTTGTTAATTATGAAGTTGCCTTATAAGCGAGAAAGGCTGACAACAAAGTATTAGCTGGATACCAATTTTGCACAATGGAGTCGGATCCACTTTTCAATAAATATTTATTAAACCAACACGTGAGTTTAATGAGCTTCCTGGCGTAAAGGAGTTCACAGAATGTGTCTTCATTTCCTAGAGTCTGACTTATTGCATCTCCTTCTCGGGTTCCGATTAAGTAGTTACTTATTATGGTGGCTAGCATGCAATTGTGTATGTGCGATTGGTGTGAACAGCACGGGAGTGGATAATCTTTTAGCACTTGGTCAATCTGAAGGTGATTTTAATCAATTCTTCTTCCTTCCATTTTGGGACTTGTCTCGTTGCAAGAGAACATGGCACACTTCGTGTACACCACTTTGTTCACTAATGTGCATCAACTTGTCATTAATTTGTTTGGTTCTACCCCACATAATACTCACAATATTTTTCTTTCCTTCCGCACAACGCCAGCAGACTGTGTGTTTTTCAGTGTGTTATGACTGAGGATGCAAATTATGAATGCTCATCTAATGAAATCTGCGGATTTCAAATTATACCCTCCGCTAAACGACTTGATTCGCAACAAGTGCTTTAATTCCCTGCGTTTACGTTTATTTGATCAAAAGGCTATCACATTTTCAAGCATTTCTACAAATTTTGAAACCAATTTGCTCATATTTTTTGACAGTTTCCCATGTAAACGAGATCCACCCCTGTAAAAAAAACCATTACTGTGTGCGTCAACTAATAGATACTGAGTGGTCATTAGGCACTTGTTTTAGTTGTTAATTGACGTTAAGCAAATCCAATGGATAATAATATGACTTTGACATTGAAACAAACCTTAAGCTGTTTTGGCGTGATCACGCTACAATATTTTGTATCCGTGATAAAACAAAACAAAATGAGGATGAGTTTGCAGAGTAAATTACCATGCAAACATTTATTAGTAGTCAAATATGTATTAATCAGACGACACATAGACATGCAGTAATAACCGGTAACTACGTAAATCCGTAATAAAGACAGCATATTGTGAAGAATTTGCCCTCTCCTGGCAGTCATGACATGACCTATTAAGGATATGAAAATAATTACAATGGGCTCTTCTGCTCGGAGCCTACTACAAATAATTCCAGGAGGTTCTTAACCTTATTTATGCATAAGTAGTAGCAGCTTATTTGAGCGTCTCGTTGGGCTGGAGGAAATTAGCAGGAGGCCCAATTGCGTATCACTGCAATTTACAATACATTATCACAATTGTCGTAACATATTTGGGATTTCCAAAATGTTTTCCTTAATTGTAGCCATTTACTTAGTGAAAGGTGTGAACTCCTTTTAAACTTCAATCCATTTCTAGTAGCTGAGCAAGCAAAAGTGTGCAATTATAATGTGCCGAATACAATAATGAGAGTCCGTCGGCAGTTCCAACATCATTAATAAAATCTAAATAACCATCAGATTATGGTGGACGAGATAAATTTAACACACTGCTAAATAAAATAACAATAAACGCTACGGTGGAAGCGTAAAGTGTAGTAAACAAGCAGAATTGAAAACATTATTGTTCAAATAACGTGGAAATCTGGAAATTGTTTTCTTGTTATTTTTACTACTGTCAGAACGTGTTTACAAGTGTTTGAGTATTTTTTCCCCCATGTGAAAATCTGAAATATCTACGTCACAGACTTATTTGAATTTTATAAAGCATGCAAGTACAGCAAGAAAATGGCATGGACGACATAAAAAACAAGATGCGTGTAGTTTTTATCAATCAATACAAATAAACCAATATAAAGTGATATTGATTTGAATTTTAAATCTCAATCTCATGTAAACACAGATTAGTCCGATTTACGCCAACACAATACTACTATTCTATTCTTATAATACACACTGTTTGCTTGTCAGGCGATTATAATGTTTGCAAAATTTGCGAGCATTTCAACATTTATCAAGTTGGATTTAGTATTGCAATGCGCAAATTTCGCAGCAGCAGCATCATTAGTACATATGTATCTGGGCTGATGAATGTAAACAGAGCATTACGGTAACTGCATCTACCTGATTTATTTTTGACACATTGTGTTCGAATGTAATATTACACGAGACGATTATAAAACCATTCCTATTATTTCAGGATGATGATCTTCACATAATTTTTCACTTTTCAGTTCTCAGTTTCTGCCACAACTACAAAAATGACTTGCTCGCTTGTGTCCAGAAAAAATGCAGAGTTCTCAGATATTGTTTTGGATTTTGTTTAATAATGTTCTCCTGCTCGTATGTACAATCGGTGGACGAGGGAAGGCTGCATTATTAGAGGCACAGATTATTTTTACATGTTGGTTGGTTTGTTGGTCGAGGAATGATCGAATGAAGCACGGTGAGCGTCTCATCTCGACCACTCTCGCTCCTCAGTTGTGTTTGCACCTTTGCACAGGTAACTAACTCTGCGTTCTACCTGAAAATCAGACCCAAGTGAGACCTTAGTTCTTCCTCTTGAGATATATGTTCACAATATACATTTGAATAATAATAATAATTCTGCTGCTCCATTACTTGCGAGCCAAGTGTCAACCGTGTCCTTCCCCTGGTCAGTATGGTGTGAAAAGGGACTGCACTCTGGAGATTTACCAATAATAATAATACCCAACTCGTTCATTTATTTATGAGACTATTACTGAGTGACTGATATGCTTCTCTCAAATGGTGTCGGTCTTGTCCGCTCTTGCCACAACCTTTACACCTTTACCTGAGAATCAGTCGCATTATTATCTTTAGGAGATAGTTGACGAGGAAGGAAGGTGCGGTTTTGGTGGAATAAGAATATTATAACATTTTTGGGAGTTGTGAAAATTCAAGTGCTTATTCTTCATCCAAAAGGCGCATTATTTACAGTTGCGACTTGAACATTGTCATTGTCGTCGTCGTCGTTGTCGTCAACGGCCCCACCCCACGTAGCGTATGAAGTGGTATGAATTTCATACAGGATTTTTGGACAGTTTGTTTTTGGCCAAATTGTAAACTGAGCTGAATATAGTGGTCAGTGAGGCTGCCAACCTGGCGTCTTTCGCCATTTAACTTTCGTCTACATTTAAGAAGCGTGCTTTACACAGTTTCGTTTTGACTCTAAAAGTTTGGTCTGCTGCACTTTGTGATTGTTTCAGAAAGAAATGTGAATATGTGCCAGTTGTCCACGTTTAATTACCCAGCGGTTTCAGCTCCTTTACTTTGTATAATGTAGAATTATTTGTTACATCCTCTCTGAAATGAGCCAGACTTACAACAAAATACATAACAAACTATAACACAATGGAGGAACTGAAGGCAATTAAGAGCCGTGACCCTAAAAATGCGTCCAACGGAATAGTAGCAATCCATCCTGATGAATTTCTGGCCTTTCGTGAAAATTTGGGATTTTGCAACGCGTAATCATTCACCACTTCTCCGAGAAATTCTCAATCCCATCAAATTATATTGCATAATTCTACATAAACTACCTATTTAGAAGTATCAATAACACAATAAAGTGGACACAGATAAGTGAGCAGATTGATAACACGTAGTAGTACATATATGCTAGCTACCTATGCATATATGTGTGCATACCGCATATATTTTTAACACACACGACGACGAGAGCTTACTCGTGGTGAGTGCGAAGTGCTGAAGTGAAGGGTTACAATGAATTGTTGAATCAAAGCATCCAATTTCTCTCGAATAAAGTTTGTACAATATAAACGAGCCGTGAATGAGACGTGATCAGTCAGTTAGTGTCGGTTTGCATTCCGTGTCGGACAGGGACGCTTCATACCGATTAATTGTTCCCACGTCCTGAGCTGGATTTATATTTATACGCTAAATATATACACTAATTTTGCACTTTTGTATAGTATGTGTCTGCATGACTGACAAAATCTTTCAAGGTATCAAAGTCTTAGTAATATATTGATTATGAAGCTCAGGGTCTCAAGATAAATTTGAAATAATTCAAAGAAAACCAGATTTCGTGTCAACTCCATCAAAGTTTATCTGTCCACATTTACAATAAATGACCTAGAACTGAAGATAAAATTAGACAATAGTATCCAGCCAAGTGTAATTTGATACTGTGCTCCGTCAATTGGTGAAATTGTGGCCTAAACAGAAAACAAATAAGAAATAACTTAACCAATACAAACAAATAACTAAAAGTGTATCGATCACTGGAATTTTTAGTGAAACCGACTGATTTATGAGACAAAAAGACAACCTTTCACAAGTGCGAATAAGATCACGATAAATGATTTTAGTTTTGATGATACATCTACAATTAGAGTGAATGTAGAAGAGTGGGACAAGTTTAGCCTAGTGCTAAAAACAAGGGTGATTTCGGATAGGATATTCCCGAATTTTCGGGAGTTAAGATAAGTGACAAGGCCCACTGAAGCTGTGGTGCTGCGAAGGGAAAGCGGACGGTTATCACACCGTTCCGCTTTTTCGTGGCTCTCACTAGCTTGGACTCATGTCCTTACAAGCCCCACATGAACACAAAGTAAGTAACCTCCTTCTTTTCCGTCTTCTTTTGGTGACAGATATTTACATATATTACATGACAAAGCGATCAAACTGGGCGAGATGAGTCCAAATGTACTAAAAACAGAACGTTGTGCTGGACTCTCAAATGGCGAGACGATGGTCTCGCTTACTTGTGCGTCGTTACAGGAATGTGTCAATTCCATGAACGATGACCAGCGTCAGTTCTTAACGTCACTACATGTCACATTTTCAACGCGCGTGGGGATTTCATCGTTCACATATGTAAAAGCGGGATGCGTGTACAATTACATTTATTATTATGGTTTATTTCTCATCCGAATTAAATAAAATCATGTAACATCATCTTGGACAGAGTAGAAAACTGGACCAAAGTGTTACCACCCGGTAATGCTATATGGCAAGGGTCAGGTTTATTTATTTGGCAGCATGTCGAGGAAACGTGCTATGGGACAAAATCCTACCGATCGGTTCGATGGAGGGCAGAACTAAGAAAACAAATGAAGTGAGAGTCAGTCCACTGGTATCATCGTTCTATGTACTTGAGTAATTGTTCACTTATGGTTTAGTTTCGGTCAATTTCTCGAACCCCAGAGGCAGACACACTGTTGTGCGATGACCAGAGGTGGCGGGTTGGGTTTGTGAGCTAGTGAAAATTATTATTAAAAGCGAGAATGCGTCTCCTATTACAATTGAGAAGAAGTGAGCAAGGTATGAGAAAAGACTAATGGGCAAACTTTGCTGGATGTGATCGCAGTGTGGTTCGAGTCCAATATTTCAATTGTACATTGGTTTCTTGTTCATATATCTCATTGTCAGTTCCATTCTAAAATTTTTAAAGTCAAAAGTTCTAAAAGTGCCCTGTTCTTCGCTTCCCCTGTGCCGTTAGCTTTTGACTTTGCCTTGGTGTTTAGTTGACCAAAGACAACGGAGAAGTGTATCCTCTCACTCTCAACGAACTCAGGTATCCGTCCATCCATCCATCCACCCGTGTGCACTATGTATTTTGGTTCGGCGTTCAGGTGTAATGAAATTTTATGACCGAGTCGGGCTGTAAAACATTTCTCTAATACTGGAGAGAGGAAAGGCCCTCCTACAGATTTTGGAATCTCTGTTTTGTTTTTCCGAAAAACAGTGAGCTAAGCTCCTCTTCTTGCCCATGGACGTACGAATGGACGGACGGAAGGTAGTCATAGGCATGCTATGGCACCGCATCGGAAGCTCAGCTCTGAAGAAGAAGAACGAGACCCAGTCAATTTCAATTGTTGCAAGATTTTAACGTTTTTAAAATTTACTCTTTAAAAATTCACGGCCTCGAAGCACAGCCACCACACTTGCCTAAACCTACCAACCAACAAATAAATTCTCCGTCTGTCCAAGGCATTGTCCTATTGTTTGTGGCCACCGTATTATTCCTGGATAGCGAGAGAGAGAGGCAACGCTATACTGCTGGCATTCCTCCATCCAACCCATAACTATTATGTGTCCACCTTTTAACTGAACTCTTCGCTCCTAATAAATAGTCGTCCCAATAATCCTGCCCCAGAAAATATCTCAATAATGATGGGTCACTTCGTGTTGAGACTTTGTTATCCGGTTGACTTTCACATCTTGAGAGTAACAACTAACTGTCTCATCGCGAGATTCCACGGCCACAAGAACGAGAACTTGAGTGAACGCTGCATAATATACCGCATGCACAATTAGTCAGCTCAGTTACAGCTCAATTCAAACCTCCAACATCTTTTTGACACTTTAGCTCAGCTAATGCTCTGCTTTGGCATTTGTCCATGAATTGAATTATGAATCATTTGGGGCCCATCCATTCACAATTTATTTTCTGGGTGGAAGCGGCACGAAAAGTGATGGACAGCATCTTATTTCACTTATTTAAGGGCCCCTTTGCTCAAAAAAGGCTTAATTGGTGATGGTGTGTTGGTTGAAATTAATTTTAAAAGCTAAGATATCCACCTACCTACCTACCCATCTACCTACCCATCTACCTACTTATGTACATACGTACTTACTAACTGCAGACTATAATAAACGCCTAAAATCCTCAACTCTTTCAATTTCATATTTATGGTCAGCAAGTTCAGTCAGGTGTGGAAACTATGAATTGCACTAAACACACCACAAGGGCCGTTTTCTGTTGAGGTTGAGGTACATTTGTACATACACGCTCTTTCAGCATCTTGTCTGTTCTAATAAAAACTGAAATACCGATGGCATTTGTTTTCATGATTCGTGATTTATCGAACTGTTAACACGTTTCTAAATCTCAAGAAAGTGTACAACTCGTGACTACATAATAATTCTTTTTCTTTTGGGCGTGGGATGTGCAAGTGTTATGGAAAAAATATTAATATGACTTAAAAATTAGAGCAACGTGTATGCTCAATTTAGCCCTGAAAAACCTGTAATAATAACGTGTTAAGGAATTGTGTTAATACGTATTATCACGCTTCCCAGAGGTATCTGATAACCAAGGGGATTTATAACATTAATTATATTTCGTACGTCAAACAAGCGTCTTTAATGAAAACTTGACATATTCCATTATACGAATTGCAACAGTACAAACACAGATCTTGAGGCTGTGCTGGATATTTGTGGTTTAAGTCAAGTATGGAGATCAAAGTACTACTTCTACGAAAATACATGTGCAGTACGAACTAAGGACATGCTAGGCGTACATACATATTACCTGTACTGTTCGATTATTTGATGGATTGACGCACCTATATTTACCGAATTTTTTCAAGGTAATAAACCAAGCATCAGCCAGCAATACACACGAGCTTCTCATGGAACTGAATCTCCACACATCAGGTTGCATAAGGTATCACGTGGGAATAAAGATCCTAATGCAGTGTACTTAGCATCATTAATAAGACACATACAACGCATTTATGCCCATTCATCGTAATAATGAAAATTACAATCGAGCTCTGCTAATGTTACACACAATCGTTAAACCTTCATCCGACTTAAGTGCTGACAACAATGGCAATTCAAAATCACTCGAATGACAACTTCACACATTAAAGTCTGCCCTCATGCCCTCTGCTGCGGTTTCTCGGTCGTACTCCTCATCAACTCGCTAGACAGAAGAAATTCTGTCTTTACTTATGTAATGCACAACCTGACAATGGCCAAGTATTTATGTGTATGCAGAATAAAGAAAATAACCCACCACGATGGTCCGCATGGCCCAACTTTACACAATAATCTCGTCTTGAATTAATATTTGGATACGATTATTTTTTGCTAAGAAATATCGAGGAGACGATAATTTATGGCACTTATTGTATCTTTTTAGTCGTCCTCGTCCCCAAGTTTTATTTTAATCAAAGTTTTGTTCCATAAAATAGAAATATGTATATGAGATTTGTACTAAATAGTAAAAGAAACTCGTGTCAGAGTTGGAGTTTAAATGGTTTTGAATGATTTTTTTAAACGAAATCGTGATTTCTTATATTATTAGATTAACCTAAAATTGAACACTCAATTGTTCCTTATACATAAATAATTTAAGAAATGAATTAAACTTGCGTCAATTTGTGCCCATTCGAATAGATTCTGAGAAATAATGCATAAAATTAATTTCAAGGAATTAGCCATAAATTGATTAAGGATTCGTTACACTTCTCACCATGGACAAATCTTGACACCAAGAACGACAGGTTAAATCAAACGGGTTGTGTGGAATTTGGTTATTTTAGTATGTATGTGTTTCTCATATTTCCCAATAATTTTGTATGTGCCGGTCTAAAGCCTACGTGCGAGAAAGAGAGTGATTGGCATTTTTTCTTTGTTATAAATTTAGTCTTGTTGCTGAGAGTGAGAGAGAATGAACAAGTTTTTGATAATTGATCTTTATAATTAATTTCTTGAGTGTGATCAATTTAATTGTTGCAATAAATAGTTTTGAGTAAATGAGTAAATCCCTGTGAGGTGTCAACAAAAGTTATTGCTAACTTAGTTCACGTTAAATTCTCTTCTCAATTAAAGTTTAGTTATCTTTTCCTTCCACCCTTCACTTCATTTTCGTGGTACGGTGAACGACGGGTAGTTTTTCACGTCTGACCCAACAGGTTGGCTGGACTCGTATCATATTTTTACTCACTGTTATAAAAATATCGGCCACTCACAGCATGGGGTTCAACGTATGAACACGTATCCCAATCTCCACCTGAGATTGACATTTCATTTTTATCGAGAGTTTGGTAACAAGGAGATGAAAAATTTGACATTAATTGTAATGATACAGCCGTCTTAAGCTTAAACCTGTGACTGCAGTTTTCGCAAGTGGATTGCAGATTATGAAGATTTTGGTAAAACGGGTTCTACAGGTTGAGCATAATTCGTACGTTTGTTTCCTTGGAATCATCATCGGCGAGATTTCTTTTATTGGATGAAATGATCAAGATTTTACAATCAAGGCCAACTGACCTGTTGCAATAAAATACGAGTATTAGCAGCTAAAAGATCGCTTTAAACTTTTCGTTGGTTTCTTACTTCGTTACTAGCAGTTTTTTTTATCTCGAAATGTTTACGATTTTAATTCTCCGTCCTGTGTCACATGAAATCATGTCTGGACATTTCGCAAGAAAAAGTTTCAAGGAAATAATAATATTGGACAATTGAAAAATTGAAAAAAGTTCCTCCTGCAAAATTAGATTACGTCGTTAAACCTAACCACGATGATCTACACACAACCAATTATCTCGGTTTGCCTTAATTAACCTTATCATTGACAATCTGAATCGGTGGTGGCAATAAAATCCATGAGTTATTGCTAATATGTAACGAAGGCTGTCTGTCAATCAAGTATAGATAGATTCGTATTGGCTTAATTGGTTGACTCATCCATGCAGTTGGATGCTTCAATTATTCTTAATCTAGGTGGTGTCGACGCGAAATAAAATATGATTTTTCTTTCCTTGAGCCATAAATTTTGTCCTCGTAAATTGCTACCAGTCAGTTCACGTAAAG